TTCTTAGAAGATCTAAATTAGTTTCGCTTTCTTTTTATCTTTAAACATCACATATACCATTTTATAGCACTGGGCCCAGCCCTTATCCCAATGATTAAGGAAGTTGTTTGCATAGTTTTGCATATTGTATTCTCCATATCACTTAGAATTCCTGGTGAAAGGTTGAGGCACAGTATTTTAAAATGAGGTACTTAAAGCATTACTTGTCAAGTTTTTTGAAAACTTAATTTTACTACATATTATATATCAACTGGAGGCCTGATGCACGAAAATTCGTGCAAGAGTAGGCCTTCCTTCCCCCGGCTTCCGGCACTGGCTTTGCTCTAGCACCTGGGACCCAGGCGGCTTCCCTCTGGCTCCAGCGCTGCCAGCAGGCACCTGGGACCCGAGTGGCTTCCCTCCAGCCCCAGCTTCATCTGGAAGGATGTCTGGGAGGATGTCCAGAAGGATGTCCGGTCTAATTAGTGTATTACCCTTTTATTTTTATAGATTGGCCTTGAAACCTTAAACACCTGTATTGTGACCATGTGGTTTTTATTTGTACTAGAGTATCGTTTTTCCTGTCATTTCTATGTCAACCCCCAAAGCCATCTTTGCTTCTTCCATTTTTGTTCTAAATATTCATTTAGTGGCAGACCATTATTCTTCATAATCTTTCTTATATTCTACCCTTTTATTGTTTCCTGAGTAGCTTCTTTAATTCTAATCTGTCTTCATTCTGCACACCACCATCAGATTAGACTTCCCAAACTAAGAGAACTATTATGGTATTCCTGTCTGAGAAACCTATATTGCTTTTATTTTTTGTGATTATAGATAATGCTGCAGTAAACATCTTTTTTTTTGTAAAATGTCCTCCATGTTTGGATTGTCCTTAGAATGGGTTGTTAGAAGTGTATACTTTATATTAAAAGTATAATTACTACATGTATGTCTGAGGTTGTTTATATTAATTTTGCTCAATTCTTCCCCACAATGTTAAGAGGGTTTTTGTTGAAGTGATGAATTTATATTATGAAAAAGTAGTACTTAACATAATATATAAGATTATATATTAAAACATAAAGCAATCCTATCTAATAATAGACAAACATGGTAATTGACCGTACCTTCACTACGCCTCCCATTGGCTAATCGACATGATATGCAAATTAACTGCCAACAAAGATGGCGGCTAATTTGCATACTGCAGGCAGGGCTGGCAGTGTATGACGCTGCCCGCAGGACCCGGGCCCCAGACCCCTCCCGGCTAGGTGGGGCCGGCAGTGCACGAGGCTGCCTGCGGTACCTGGGCCTTGGACCCATGACCCGGTGAGGGAGCAAAGCGGTGGAGAAGGGAGAGAGCCCAGGTGGCAGAGAAGGGAGGGAGCCGAGGTTAAGCGGTGAAGGGAGGGAGCGAGGCAGCAGAGAAGGGAGTGACCCCCGCCGTGGTGGACTTTGCTCCCTTCTCTGCTTCTCTGCAGTCTCAGGAAGCCCTATTCTTGCAGGAATCTTTCTGCAACGGGCCTCTAGTATATTTATAAGTAAGCTTGTGAAACCTAACTCTTCCTTTTGTCTTTAAATAGCTGGATAGAACTTACACTGGCTTGCAGACTCTTGGAGCAGAGACGGTAGGTTTTTTTCCCCTATAGCATTATTTGGGAACAAAAAGACTGAAAATTGATCTTCATTTTAGTTAGAAAAAAATGAGTGCTAAATTTAGAAAAATTTTATATCCCCCTCATTTATTTATTTTTTAGTGTGAAAAAAATACACATAAAATTTACTATTTTTAAGTATACATTTAAGTATTATTACATATACTCACATTTTGTGCAGTGATTGCTATCACCCTTTTGGAAAACTGAAACTGTAACAATTTACAATAATTCTCTATTCTCCTCTGCCTCTAGCTCCTGGCACTCACCCTTCTACTTTCTCTCTCTCTGAATTTGACTACACTAGATGCAATATAAGTGGTATCGTACAGTGTTGTTTTTTTTTGTAACTGGCATGTTTCACTTAGCATAATGTTTTCAAGATTTATCCACATTGTAGATGTGTCCAAACTTCCTTCCCGAAAAGGCTGAATAATGTTTCATTATATGTATACACTACATTGTGTTTATCCATTTATCTATCCGTGAACACTTGAGTTGCTTACATCTTTTGGCTATTGTGAATGCTAAGAACGTGGGTCTGTTTGTTCCAGTCCCTGCTTTTAATTCTTTTGGATAGATACCCAGCAGTCAGATTGCTGGATGATACTGTCATTCTTTTTTTAATTTTTTGAGGGCCTGCCATACTGTTTTCCATAACAGCAGTACCATTTTATATTTCTACCAACAGTGCATAAGGATTCCAATTCTCCAGCACTTGTTGTTTTATGTCTTTTTTGTAGTAACCAGGTATTTCATTGTGGGTTTGGTTTATATTTCCCTAATGGTAATTAATGTTGAGCATCCTTTCATGTGTTTATTGGCCTATTGTTTATCTTCTTTTGAGAAATGTCTTCAAATCCTTTACCCATTTTTGAATTGGGTTGTTTGGTTTTTTGTTGTTGAATTTTAGGAGTTCTCTCTATATTCTTGGTATTAGTCTTTTGTTAGATATATAAAATATAAATATTTTCTCCCATTGTGTGGGTGATCTTTACATTCTCTTTTTTTTTAATTTTTCATTCTTGATTATGTCCTTTGATGCACAAAAGTTTTTAGTTTTGACATAGTTCAATTTATGTTTTTTTCTTTTGTTACATGTTTTTTTGTGTTATATCCAAGAAATCATTGTCAAAGCCAGTGTCACGAAGCTTTGCCCCTATGTTTTCTCCTGAGATTTTTATTGTTTTAGGTCTTTGATCCATTTTGAATTAATTTTTGTATATGGTGTAAGGTAAAGATCCACGTTCATTCTAATGCATGTGGGTATCTAATTTTCTCAGCACCATTTTGTGGAAGACTGTCCTTTTCACATTGAATGGTCTTGGCATCCTTGTCAAAAATAATTTGACCATACATGTGAGGGTGTATTCTGTTCCAATGGTCTATTTCTGTCTTTATGCCAGTACTACACTGTTTTAATTAATATAGCTTTCTAATTATATAAGTTTTGAAATCTGGAAGTATGAGACACCAACTTCACTTTTTTCTTCTTACCACCTCCCCCCACCTTTTTTTGGAATTTATGATATATCAGCAGTAGTCATTACAATTATAATTAGCTATTTATAGTTTGTGTTATATTAGAAGATATTTTTTGAGCACAGTATATGCGAGGCACCGGTGTAGGTAGTGGGGTTACAGATTTCTGCACAAGATAGCTATTGTTCTCAAGTATTCTTGGTTGTGTTGAGAACTGGCAGATGGTATACAGTAAGCATAAAAACAGATGAGGTGTAATTTACAAATAAGTGCAATAAAGAGAGTAGCCGGGGGACAAGAGAGTTGCTTTAGCTAGGTTGGTTAGGGAGGCCTGAGAAGACGACATTGGATTGAGACCTAATGGTGAGAAGAAGGCAGACATGCGAAGATTTGGAGGAAGAGTGTTCTAAGGCATTGAAACAACAAATGGAAAGACCTCAGTTTTATGATTAGTATTACTAATTATCTATTAAACCAGAATAGGTTATATTCTGGGATAAAATTCTTCAGTTCTTGAGATGGAAATTGCCTTTAAAGTATGATTAGAAATCATTTGTCACATCTCTCAGAGTACCATGATCTTAAAAGGTTTGGGGCTTTCTGGGACACTGATGATGAATTCATGAGCCCAATTATTGCCCGATTTTGTAGGTAGTGGATGTTGAGCTCCACCGGCATTCTCTTGGAGAAGACTCCATTTACCCTCAGTCCTCCGAGTCAGACATTTCTGATGCCCCACCGTCTTTGCCTTTGACCATTCCAGCCCCAGTGAAAGCTTCCTCACCAATAAAGCAGTCACATGAGGCAGTACCTGATACCTCCGTGGAGAAAGGTAATATATTTTTTCTTATAAATTCATGTATTTTTCCTTATATGGAGGAGTCATCCTGGGGCATTTATTTTTCTCATTTACATAATATGATAGTGAGCTGCTGCCTTCAGAGACTGAGAAAAAGGAAATTTTCCATAAGTAGGCATGTTGCCTCTACCCAGTACTATTATAAAAATCCCAAAATGCTTATTACTCTTCTCAGAAAATATCTTTCATTAAGTTCTACTAACATTTTGTAGAATACAAAACTCACTAAAAAGCATTAAATTTTTAAAATGAAATTACTTTATTTTTATGGTTATATTGCTATTTTCGTAGAATCAACAGAAAGCTCTATGTTTCTCTGTAGGACATACTTAAATAAATCAGTGTTGCAAACTAGACCATGCCACAAATTTTTTTTTTTATTGATTTTAGAGAGGAAGGGAGAGGGAGAGAGAGAAACATCAATGATGAGAGAGAATCATTGATTGGCTGCCTCCTGCACACCCCCTACTGGGAATCGCGCCCGTAACCCAGGCATGTGCCCTTGGCTGGAATCGTACCTGGGACCCTTTAGTCTGCAGGCTGACGCTCTATCTACTGAGACAAACCAGTTAGGGCCACAAATCTTAACTTTAAGTATGACAAATTGTTTATTAAGGAATAGATACCATTCTTCCCACATGATAAAATAGAACAAAACATCAAAGTAATAACTGAATTGGAAAAATCAAATAATAAACTTATATGTGTATTAGGGAAAGGGACTTGAACACAGTCTCAATTATAGCTGAACAGGGAGAAACAAAACCTCTTCTACTGTAAGATACACTGATGATAAATAAGGTGACCCTGCCTCCTCCTCCTCACCAAGTAAATGAATTCATTAACATTTCCTGTAACTGGATGATTCCCTAACAAAGCATTAGTTCTGATTTTGCAGTATCAATGTTGAATTTTATAGCACAAACTTTATAAAACCATTTTCTCTGTTAAATGCTTTTATCTCTTGAGACTTCCTTTAACGACAGGTAACTCAGAGAAAAGTAAGGCTTGTCGAACGAAATTCATGAGGTTGGGGCGTATCATAAAGCTGAATTTCTGCTCTAGTTTGGGTTTGTAGATGTGTCTCACTGGAGGAGAATGTGAGTATTTTAACAACCATATTAGAGAAAAGATAGGCATTAAAAGTATGACAAAGATAATTTCCCTGTTTTTACCTTAAGGCTTTTCAGTCCAACTTAGGAAACTCTTATCATAATTAAAATCAAGCAGATAAATAAAGTTGCATTTTTGAATTGCATCAGTCTTTTTCATTAATGGAAAAACTACTTCTCATTGGCTCAACAAGGGGAAACTATAAATAGCCATCCTAGAACAGCCCTGTGATGTGATTGTGTCCAGCATCAATATCATGGAGCATAGATATATATTTTTTAATTTAATTTTTCCCATCACCGCTTATTCCTTCTATGCCCTCTTCCACCTCCTCCTCTCCCCCCACCCCCTTACCCACTGCAGTCACCACACTGTTGTCCATGTCCATGATTTCTCATGGAGCATAGATCTTAATGTTTCTTTCCAGCCTGTCGTTGCACTCAATCCCTTTTATTAAATTGCAACTAATTCATTGAGTTACAATTCTTGCATGTAGTAGATATTAATTAAAATACCATGTATTTTAAGCCATTTTATGATTATATGTAGTAAATACAGAAATATATTGAATTTTGTTAGTTCTTCAGATGGAAGAAAATTGTATTTTTTTCTGAGTTAAAAACCATTAAATTTTTATTCCTTGATGATTATAGTTTCTCGTAATTCTGGTCTGGTTCCCAATTATGTGAACAAGAAACTTAAATAATAAATATCTAATCTTATTTAAAATAAAAGACTCATCGTCAATAAATGTTTAAGTATTAAGTATTCACTTATATAACTTATGTACAAGAAATAAAATTGACTCTAAATGGTATTAGTTTGTCTCTTAGCCTGCATTTTAATATGATGTTAATATTTTCATTCTTTTGTTCCTCTTTAAATTTCAATTACATCTTCTTTATGGGCATTTAAGAAGACAGGACATCATTAGATTAAGTGAATCCTTTTGAGTTTTTCCTCCTCTAATTTAAACAGGTTTCAATTTGTAAAAAAAAATAGAACAAAATAAACTTATATATACTGTTTATAGTTAATATGTTTTCTAATTTTTTAAACTTTTTAACAAAATATGATTCTAGGCATATTCACATTTGTTAAAAAACAAGACAACAAGCTCCAAATGTGGTCACCTATGCCAAGCTCACATCACCGAATTCAAACTTATAATTTCAGCCTCTTCCAGAAATGAATCTTTTTTAAAAAAATATATTTTATTGATTTCTTACAGAGAGGAAGGGAGAGAGATAGCTAGAAACATCGATCAGCTGCCTCCTGCACATCTCCCACTGGGGATGTGCCCGCAACCAAGGCACACGCCCTTGACCGGAATCGAATGACCCTAATTGAGTTAATAACAATGTACCTACCTATATAGTTTAAGTTTAAAAAATTTGGCTCTCAAAATAAATCTCAATCGTTGTACTGTTGATATTTGGCTCTTTTGACTAATGAGTTTGCCAACCACTGCCATAGGGGGCATGCAGGAGATGGCCAATCAATGCTTCTCTCTCATCACTGATGTTTCTATATCTCTCTTCCTCTCCCTTCCTCTCTGAAATCAATAAAAAGTATTTTTTTAAATGTATTCAGTTGAAATTTACTTACTTATTTTTATTTTATTTTATTTCCCTTGAATGGAATCAAACCCAGGACCCTCCAGTCCACAGGCTGATGCTCTATCCACTGAGCCAAACCAGCTAGGGCTGAAATTTATTTTTTAACACACTTCACCCAAAAATGTATAAAGGGATAATAAATACTGTGGATTGTTTTACTGTACTACTAGTAAATGGCTTAAATGGTTGTTGAAATGATAAGGGATTTTTATTGTTTCATTCTTTTTCCACAGTGGTAAGATATTATTGCAAAGATATTAACGACTTAATCATTTGTCTGTTTCATTTCAAGCAGGATTACCAGCCAATACTGAAACTGAGAGGCATACTACATTTTATTCTTTGCCATCTTCATTGGAACGAACACCTACCAAAATGACAACATCCCAGAAAGTTATGTTTTGTTCTCATGGCAATTCAGCTTTTCAGCCAATAGCATCAAGCTGCAAAATTGTGCCACAGAGCCAGGTTCCTAATCCCGAGTCACCTGGGAAATCCTTCCAACCCATCACCATGAGCTGCAAGATCGTCTCAGGTATACAGAGGATGTGTGCGAAGTTGATGTGTGTGAAGTTATTGGAATGATAAAACAAAATACTATGGTTTAAAATAATTTTTTTTAGTTCTAAGCAAGGTTTTTGTTTATTTAACAAGTGAGCTAATCACTTTTGATTAGTAGAACAAAGGTGTCAGGAAGCAAAAACAAAAGTCATCTATGTGGAAACAATTTTTGAATGAAGCAAGAAATGAAATTCAGAGAGATCAAATTTTCATCTAGAATCAGCACAGGTAAAATGTTTGGTAGGATTGTGGTTGAACTTAAAGTAGGAATTATGGTTTGTGATTATATTTGGAAACCAGAGCAACTAGTAATAGAATAAGTGTAGAGGCCTTTTAGTTTGGAGTTGAAATATCTTTTATACTCTAACCACATGAGAGAAATTACTCATTTCAATTATTATCAGGAAGGTTGAATTTCCATTGCCTTACAACAATTTCACATTTATATTAGGTAAACTTTTAGTAGGACTATACTTTATGTTTTTGGCCAAACCACCTCAGGAAAGACTGAAAGAGAGTCAGTAAAAGTATTTAGGCACTGGGAGGTTTCTATATAATACTTAAATGAAGGGGAAGGAGGGAGCCTTTGTTGTTAAAAACAGAAACTAAGCAGTAATATGATCCAAGTCTTTGAAGTTTATGAGAAGTAAAGAATGTAAATTTTATCTACCAATTAGAAGCACTTTGGAACTTGCTGCTTCAGAGGTAGATGTTGAATGTATAAATTGGTTTGAAGTTTAGAGAAATTGAGGGATGACAAATTCGATCACTAGAAGACAGTAGAGGATGTTTAATGGCACATTGGTACCTTTAGAGCATATTCTGTGGGAACATGAATCCCTCTGGGTTGTGGCTGTGACATAGTATTGACAGAGACTTCTGTTTTGAGTGGGTGAGTTTCTTATTTTCCTATTGGAAATTAATCCCAACTCAAGACTCCTGGTTCCTAAATCCAATTTATCGCTTACAAATTTCCTCCCTAATTTTAGCTTCTTCAAATACAACCTGCCTAAGTTGTTAAGAGATTTATTGTCTAGTGATTCAACAGTTTCACACTGTTATGTAAAGCACTGCTTTTTGAACTTTAATGTGCCTACAGGGGAACTTGTTAAAATACAGATTTATATTTGGTATGTCTGGGTAGGACCTCAGAATCCGTTTCTAACAAGCTCCCAGATGATGCAGATGCTAATGCTGCTGGTCACCAGATAAGGCTGAAGAGAGTGAAACACACTAGTCCCTGGCCTTAGCTAGGCCGAGGCCACTGCTCCTGCTGCTGCTCAGTCCCTGAAATCGACAGTCTCATTCACTTTTCCCAATTTGTCACCTTTGTCCTGGCAGCCCTGCCCTTCTTTCATTATCTTCCAGCATCTTCTTAGATGGGTTGAATATATCTATTTTGTTTAGTTTATTTTTTTCTCTTTTTAATTAATAAAGGTTCCCCCATATCAACGCCAAGTCCATCACCATTGCCTCGAACCCCAACTTCCACTCCAGTCCATGTGAAGCAAGGCACTGCCAGCTCTGTTATTAGTAACCCTTATGTTATCATGGACAAGCCAGGGCAGGTTATTGGAGCCACCACTCCCACTACAGGTGTGTGTTTGATCAATATGTATGCGATCCAAAAGATTTGATCTTTTTTAAAGATGAAATCCTAGTGTCACTTAGTAGCCATATAATGGGAAAATGAAATCTCCATCCATAAACAGGAGGGAATATATAAGAGTAACACTAGTGTTGGTTTTCTGAGGAAGATTTACTCTTTTTGTAAAAGTTGTATTTTTAAAAATATGTATCTTTATTGATTTCAGAGAGAGGAAGGGAGAGGGAGAGAAACATCAATGATGAGAGAGAATCATTGATCGGCTGACTTCTGCACAACCCCCACTGGGGATCGAGCCCTCATTGTGGGCATGTGCCCTGACCAGGAATCAAACCGTGACTTCCTGGTTCCTAGGTCAATGCTCAATCACTGAGCCACGCCAACCAGGCAAAAGTTGTATTTTTAAGAATTGACTTACATTTTCTCTTTAGTTTCTAAAGATTAAAAGTGAGCAGTAATTAATTTAAAAAGAGAGAGTTGAATATATTTCATTATTGATTACATTCTTTTTGAGCCTGCAAGCAATGTGATTATTTCTAAATTAAGCTTTAGTTCAAGAATAACTTTGTGAGCAATATGTATTTCACCCAGTCAAATAAAAAAGTCATCTTTACTTTTCTGTGAATAAGATAAATTTTGCATCTGGGAGGAAAATTGTACCCTACCATTTTAAAAAGAAAACACTAATAGGAAGAATAAGACAGATTTGGATTCACCATGTTTGTCATCATTATCTTATATAACTACAGACTGCTCTTCAGGTTTTTTTTAAGTACTTTCACTAACATTAGTTTAATTGAAGGTAATAAATAGAATATTTAAACACATGCTCCTAAGTGTAAACATTCCTGTAGTTTTTCATTCCTAATTAAGAGAAATGGTAAAAAGAGAAATGAAATAAGAGAGATGATTGTAAGGTAATGAAACCTTTCTTCCCCATGTGTGTTGGGCCGTTTCAGGTAGGTTTTTGAAAAAGTTGGTTCCTTTAACAGTGATTGTAATTGTGGAACTCCTTTAAAAAAATGCTACTTTCAGAAATTACCTGAGAGCCTTTTGAATATACTTAGGGATGCCAAGTAGGTGTGCTCTGAGGATACTTAGTTTTAGCAGTCAGCCAAATGTCTTTGCAGACAAGTTTGGTAAATGGGTAAGTGACCAAATACCATTTGGGGTCTTGACTTTTTTTTTTTTTTTTTAATATATTTTTATTGATTTCAGAGAGGAAGGAAGGAGAGAGAGAAACATCAGTGATGAGAATCATTGATTGGCTGCTTCCCACACACCTCACACTGGGGATCCAGCCCACGAGCCAAGCATGTGCCCTGACCGGGAATCAAACTGTGACCTCCTGGTTCATAGGTTGATGCTCAACCACTGAGCTGTGTCAGCCGGGCTTGACTTATTTTTGACTGTAGATAATGTAAGTGATTTTTATCAGAGGCTAATGTCAGTTGTACAGATGGAGTATAAAATCCTGCCAATAATGTTCAAATAGGTATTCTTTCTAGTGAAACTACTTTGAAGGAGCTCGCATTCACTTGAATGTATACATTTTGGCTCATTAAATAACCAATTCCATTATGTTATAGTATCTTTTTATACAGTAAAACTACTTTACTTATTGTACACATTCTTACAAGCTTCTTGTCCCTTTTCAGATTGGTGAAGTGGTCACCTTTGTAGGATGAATCCTTAAGTGTTTCTTCTGTAACAGTTTCAAGGTTGTAGGTTTTCAACCCTTAAAGATGAAAACTAAATAGTGAGGAAAAGGGAAGAGTGGTGGAAAATGCTTTAAAGTTCCATTTCGCAAATTTTATTTTGTTTATACTTAACTTTTAAATCTGCCTTGCTTACAGGAAGTCCTACGAACAAGCTCTCTACTGCCTCTCAAGCCTCCCAAGGAACAGGTTCCCCTATTCCTAAAATTCATGGAAGTAGTTTTGTAACATCTACTGTCAAGGTAACCTTCTGTTACATTATTGCACTTTGCTAGTTTTAAAGATAGTGTGTTTGAGTTCAACAGTAATTTGTTAGTTGATATTGCAAACTTCATAAAGTAAAACCTTCAGGCTAATAAGTATCTTGAAGATCATCTTACTCCAGACTTCTGTACCTTTCCTTGATCTTTTTCTTGTGTAGAAAATGTTTCTCAACACTTCTGTCAATTGGTAACCCAGTATCTATTTGAAAACTTACTATGGTGAGGCAGCCTATTTTTTGGGTGGAAGGGGGCAGCTTTGTTATAAATTTTTCCTTCTAAAAATATTCATCTGGCAAAACATCCGTTTTTCCTATATATGCACCAGCAAGAAGTAAATATATTTTCTTTTCCACATGTCAGCCATTTAATTACTTGAAAATAATTCCTCTTTCCAAAATTTATTCTTTTATTTTTTAGGGAATAAGTCCTTTGAAATTTGGAATTCCAAATATTGTCTGACTTATTCAGATCAAAGTGCTAGCTATCTGTTCACTGTTTGGCAAAGACAATTCTTGCTGTTCGGTTAATTATTCAACTTATTTGTCATTGTCATGACTGTCTTAAGGCTAGAGTTTTTGAGGTATAAACTCCTGTGAGAATTGCCAAGAATTCAAAGATCATCTCTTACATGATTAAGTGTAAGAATTTAATGGTGATGATATTGAATTTTTTCCTGGTCCAGGGCAAGGTTTTTCTCTAAATTCAGTGTAATGTGTAAGCACTGTGTTTATACGAATGCCTGAATTGTAATAATTTTGTTTCTTGCCCCTAACATTTATTTATGACAAATTGACTCTGAGGTTTGCATTTTGCGTTTGAGAATTGGAGACAAATGACAGTATTTTAAATGTTGACTTTTGCTGTCTTTACAGTTGCCATTTGTTCAAGTTCTTTTTGTTGTTTTGTTCTTTAAATGTTTATTGAAAAATTTCCATGTCCTGGGTATTTATTCTGAGTACAGACAACAAGTCAAGTTGTGAGTATTATAAAAAGGATATGCTGAAGCACTGACTGCTGTTTCATTCATTTATTTAGTGCCTAGGCTCTAGGGAGAGAAAAGAAACAAAACGTAGCGCCTGTCCTTTACTAGCTTACCATTTGGCAGGAGACTAGACCCAAAATCCAGTGAGTTGACCAAATCTGAGAGGTAGTATGATAGGCATCTTCTAGTATACAGTGGGGCACAAATGAATAGCTTCCTGCCAAGTTACTAGCCTTGCTTTGCATTTGGTTTCCTTTTTAAATATATTTTTATTGATTTCAGAGAGGAAGGGAGAGGGAGAAAGAGAGAGAAACATCAGTGATGAGAGGGTATCATTGATCGGCTGTCTCCTGCATGCCCCTCACTGGGGATTGAGCCCTCAACCCGGGCATGTGCCCTGACCGGGATTCGAACCGTGACCTCCTGGTTTATAGGTCAATGCTCAACCACTGAGCCACACTGGCCAGGCGCATGTGGTTTCTAAAATAATATTAAAATGCAGGTGTTGAGGCTTAGAAGACCCCAAAGAGTTTTGGGCTTTTTGTTTTGGTTTGGTTTTTGGTTGTTTATCGTGCTAGAGAATGTTACAGATTTGTATTAAATATGACTATAAAGTATCTAAAGTCACTTGTTTTATCTTAATTGTAAAATACGTATTTTTACATTCACAGCAGGAGGATTCTTTGTTTGCATCTATGCCGCCTCTTTGCCCAATTGGGAGTCACCCTAAGGTTCAAAGCCCCAAACCTATAACTGGAGGACTTGGAGCTTTCACAAAAGTGAGTATTTTTTTCAGGGATCATCCTCCAAGTCAGTATGGTCTTACATAGTCTTTTTTGCGGCATGTTGGAGTTGGTTGACACTACCTCACAACATGTAACTTTTTAATCTGCCTCAGCCCTGAGGCCAGATCCTATTTTGGAGACATGCTTCTGTTTATTCAGTGGTGTCCACAGAGCAGCCCTTGGAGCCCAGGTAGATGGCAACTTCAGAGAGCACAGTGTGTTTCTCTCTGCTGCCAGTGTGCCAGTATCTAAAACGAGTAGTTTGAGTTTGCAGATACACAGGATCAAATCCAGATCCTGCTTTGTCCCTTTAGTAGCTGTTATGGGCTACCTTTAAGCCGTGGCTTTACTCTTCTGGTGGAGCCATTCTTTACAGACCAGGCTTCATTAATTTATTCATTCCTGTGAACAGAATAGATTCAGATATTAGTAGCGCTTTTCTTGGGATGTTTATTCAGTATCGTTATCATATTTGTTGCAAGGTAATCATCAAACAGGAACCTGGCGACGCCTCTCACGTGCCCACAACTGGAGCTGCCAGCCAGTCACCACTCCCCCAGTATGTGACTGTGAAAGGGGGTCACATGATAGCTGTGTCCCCTCAAAAACAGGTCATAGCTGCTGGAGATGGGACTGCCCAATCACCAAAGATTCAGCCCTCCAAGGTTTGTGTTGGGTAGGGATGGGGAGGTAACAGGTATGGCCATTCTTTGTCTAAATAATTGACAGGTGCTGAAAAGATACAGGGTGACAGGGTTGCTGATCCCAGAAACGCCTGTAGATGAAAGCCCCACTGGAAAAGCAAGATAGTCAACGTGCAGTCCATCTGCTCTTTAACCATTGACCAGGGCAGGGCATGTCTTATAGAGGGTCCTGAACAGCCAGGCACAGGGCACAACGTCATCTCTGGCAGTGAGGGTGATTGACTTCCTGAGCACAGCTTTCCACAGGATTCAGTCTAAAGTGGGTTACCAACAGGACCAAGGTCTACTGTTTTACTTCATTATTTCTGATAGGAGAGTGCATAGTTTATACCTCTGATGTCCACGCTGTGTGATCTGTTTAATAATTCTTGGCTCTTTGGAGAGTTTCCTTCCTTTACAATTTGGAGGTGTGGGCAATTATGTGTTGGGAGAACTGTAAAATTGCACATAGATTCATGTTTTATAGCTAATAAGTAACAGGATTTGAACCCAAGTCTGTTGACTCCAAGACTCCTTATTCCAGAACTAATTAAAATTTGCGAGACATAACTTAAACATGCTTTTAGGACATCCAGAATTAAATTATCTCACTTTTAGGGCAGATATATTCTAAAGCTCTTGAGAATATTATGTGAAGTGTTTGCTTTTCCACTTGAGAGCCAGGCTGTCTAGGGAGAGTGAATTGTTTTAGAGGAATAATTTAAAGTAGAAAAAGGTTTTAGATATTTTGGTTAGACTACATAGCTACAGAGGGGTCAAGATAAAAATTTATAGTGTTGCCCAGCTGGCGAGGCTCAGTGGTTGAGCATTGACCTATGAACACTTGGATTTCCAGTCACATGCCAGGGTTTCATGCTCAATCCCCAGTGTGTGGCCTGCCGGAGGCAAACAATCAATGATTCTCTCTCATTGATGTTTCTATCTCTTACTCCCTCTCTATCTTGGAAATCAATAAAAATATTTTTTTTAAAAAAAAATGTATACTGTTACATAAGTGGTTCTAAAATCTGTAAGAGTCCGTTAAATACTTTCCCAAACTTATCTGGTCATAAGAATCGTCTGCTGATTTAAAAACATAAACGCGTAGGCCCCTATCTCAAACTTACTGAATCAGAATCTTCCTGGGGGCCCTGGGAATCTGGATTTTTAAAAAGCGCCCCTACTGACTCACGATTAGGCAAATTTAGGAACCACTGAGCTGTAGCATCAAATTTGACTTTGTGGCTTCCATAGCCCGAATCACTAAGACAGGTGCCTCAGTTGCATCCTAATCTCCCTCTGTTGTTTGGTCAGGGACAGCATTTTGTCAGTGTTCTTAAGTGAGCAAATTATTGCCATGAGGACTTCCTACTCAGATACTTCCTATATGTTCTTCAAAATCTATTTTACTTCACCTGGAGATGTATGGTATTACTGATTTAGGTTTTTGAATTAATACAGCATTTCTGTTTATGCTCAGGATAAATTAGTGGTTTTTGCAAATCCACTTTTCCAGTAATGCTCTACTGGTTTTTTTTTGTCACATTGCCACCTACCTAATGGCAATGACAACTGAGAGGGAGTGGATGGGTTTGTGCTAGAATGCTCTGAATAAAGTTTAAGGGCACCTGAAAAGAAAGCCACATAAGAATGTGAAAGAACTGCAAAGGAGCAGTAGGAGCATGAGGAAAGACATCACTGTTCATCCAGGAAATTTAAGTCATGCTTTGGACTCGAGATCAGGAGCTATCTGCAAGTACATCCTGGTTATTGCTGAAGTGCATTTGTAGAAACTGCTGGAAAACAGAAGGGTGAACCAAATGGTGTTGTTTTACCTTCAATACAACTTCAGCACAATA